TTTTTTATAGTTTTGAACCTACCCAATACCCCTCCTAATTCCGCCACTGAAAGCATTAATTGAAAATTATAGTATTATTTTAATAATATTTTATACTTTTGCAGAAGTGAGTAGAGTAAATTTGCATTACTGGATAACATGAGGAGTTCTACTAACAAAGGGCAACAAAATCAAAAACAAGAAAAAGTATAAATCGTAATCGAACTTTATCTACATGTATTCATACTACATTATAATATATATTATAAGGTTACAATATAAGGTTACAATGTATAGGTACATGTTATCTACATGTACATATATAACATTGATACTACATTATGTAACGTTGGAATGTATACATGTTATGTACAGGGTGATCCCCTATAATGTCGCCCCCTTTAACTTTTTTATTTTAAGTGTCCAAAAATATTTCAAAGTGTGGTTATGTAGGTACTAAAAAATACTTTTTTTCTACGTATAAAGAAAATTGGAAAATTGATCAGTATACAGGGAAAAACAAAAAGTTTCTTTTTTTTCAATGGATCACCCTATATATGTATTTATTTTTTAATTCCTTGTAAAATTCTAAGCATATTTCATATAACATACCATATACCTAAATTCAACCGTTTCTGAAATATTTAAACTATTTTTAAGATAATAAGTTGATAAAGTTTGTCTTCCTCTGTCTGAGTAGGCCATTTTTACTTATTTAACAAGACATATTGACATAATGTCACTAAAATAATTTATTTTCAATAAAAGTTTTGGTATACATTTAGTGATAACATTTCGAATGCAAATATTTCAGAAACAGTTAAATTTAGGATATGGTTTGATATATGAATTATGCTCAGAATTTTACAAGGAATCTAAAAATAAATTCATATATGGGGTGATCCATTGAAAAAAATAAACTTTTTGTTTTTCCCTGTATATTGATCAATTTTTTTTTAATACGTAGAAAAAAAGTATTTTTTAGTCCCTACATAAACACACTTTTAAATTTTTTGGGACACTTAAAATAAAAAAGTTAAAGGGGGGCGACATTATAGGGGATCACCCTGTACATATTACATAGCATACAGTAAAATATTAGAGTAACTCAAAATTAGTAGTTTGAGTAATTAAATTCTAAACATTCGAACTGCGATCATTTAAATTTTAAACCATAAAAGAATTTTAGGGTGGTCCTGAAATTTATATGCTTTCAACCCCTAAACGCTTTCAAATTAATAAAAAAATCCCTGAAAATTTTAGCTCTAAGATAGTCCGATTTGCGATCGAGGCAAATAACAAGTCGTTGACGAATATAAAAATTTTTGTTTTACCCTTTATAGAATATATATATTATGTGAGCCACATATCTCAATTTTTGAATTCGTTGCATTTTGCTAGGAGTGCTCCTTATATCGTGGTGCGTATACAGTTTCTGCAAATATTTAGTAAAATTACTAAGGAAATTTTTAACAGTGTATAGTAATATACACTATATGTTTTTAATTTAACTCATGTTTTTATTTTATAGCTGCTGAAGATGAAACAGTTAAAAATATTTATTTAAAATTTGTCAGTATGGCTCACAAATCCAGCATATTTTACGTTAGCTATGGTATTTGTGGAATTTCTTTGTATTTTACGACCCCTTTTTTCTTGCAACATTTTAACAATAACTCAAATGAAACCATTAATGAACATTACTTTATTTTTTCATCATGGTTTCCCTTTGATAGGAACCAACATTATATTATTGCTTATCTGATACAACTTTTGGGTAGGCAAATAAAATAATGGGTAATTGGGATATATATTTTTTTATAAATTATGCATTTTTAGGTGGTTTCTTCGGTTTTTGTTACATTTGTAATGCAGGAACTATTCTATTTTGTATGTTTATATTTACAACAGCAGAGTTAAGAATTATACAGCACATCTTAAAAAACTTTTCAACATACTCAAAAAAATACGAACACCAATATAATTTACCTAATAAAGAAGCCCAAAGGGCTCTAATTAGAAACGTAATAATTGAACACAAAAGAATAATAAGCTTTGTTGGAATATTAAATAAATCAATAAGAGCATATATGATTATGGATTTTGTGGTTTCATCTTTGCAGTTATCATTTTTGGCCCTTCAAATTATCGATAACAAAAATCCCATTTTGTTAAGATGTATGGTGTTTTCATATTTTTCTACATTAACTATACAGTTATTTTTAACATATTGGTATGCTCACTCAGTCACTATAGAAGTAAGTTTATTAAGTCAAATTGAAAATTGGGCTAAAATGAGTAATTGAATATTATTATTTATTATTATTGGGTTCTATTGAAGCAAAATCGGTTAAATCTTAGATCAAACAAGCTATCAGCTTGTCAGCCAGTTTAATCAAGTGAAATAAATTTTGTGATCAAGTTGTTGATGTAATTAATCTATTAAATTGATTTAACCGATTTTGTATAAATGCTCCCTAAATATCATTTTTCTAATAATTGTTTTTAGAGTCAAAACTTAGCACAGGCAGCATTTGAGTCAGAGTGGACAACTTATTCATTAGAAGTCAAAAAATGCTTTATCATGTTAATCGCTAGAGCTCAGAAACCTTTGCATTTTTCTATTGGTCCCATATATGATATGAAGGTCGATGCTTTGTTATTGGTTAGCCTAAACTATATACTTTAGGGGTTTATTAATATTCAAATTTTTTTTTTTTAGATTTTTAAGACGATTTATTCTTATGTGGCTGTTATTAAACAAACAAATGAGTAATAAATTTTAGCCAACTGGGAGCTAACAGAATCATATATTTTTAATAGCCAATAATAATTGGAAAAACGAATTTATTTTTAAGAAAGGATGTTTAATAATTTTTTCTACTCCCACCTTTAAAACGCCCATTATCGTACATGTTTCCACTAAGTGACCTTTTAAATACACTTGAGAAGTTGTGGCTTTATGGTGCTTTAGTCACGGACTAAAGTTACCAACAGATTTTTGGTCACGGGCTGAAGTTAGTTTTAAGTTAGTTGACAGTTGTCAAATGTCATACAATCGTTAAAATAGAGTGTAATAAAACTAAATATGAAAATTATTCTATTATCTCTCTTTCTCTTTTATTTTTACTGTGAAAAACTGCTTCTACATCGATTTTTAGTTTATTTTCAAGATATAACTTTTGATTTACACAGAAAATTTTGAGATTTTAACGCTGGTAGATTCCCAAGGTAGAAATTCTAACGGGAATTCCAATAAATACAACTGTCACTTTTTGCAATTATAGTAATAAAAATATCAAAGGATGTATTTTTGAAACAATCATATTTTGAAGTTATTTTAATATATTAGAGGATCAATAATTGTTAAGTTTAATTAAAATAATAACGGGCAATGTTATTGGTGAAAATTACGTCAAAAATGTTTTTATTTTTTTAGATACCTTATATCTAGTATTTGTCGTAGAAAAAGTATTGTATGCAACTACTTCATAAACTTTTCTAGGCACTAATTTAATTAAGCACTCGCTCGTGCCTAAATTAAATTCGTGACTATGAAACTTGATACATAGTATACTATTACATACTCCCCCATTGATAAGCTTTGACATTATGGCGTTTTAGTCCCGGAGTAAAGTTTGTAACAGTAGCCTTTGGGCATTTTAGTCACAGGCTGAAGTTGAGCTTTATTATTAGTTACGAAAAAGCGAGGTTAAATTTTTACCAAATAAAATGGCTTTAAATTCTTCTTTGTGTTAGTCGTAGATAAAGTATAGTATGCAACTCGTTTATAAACTTCTCCAGACACTCGTTTTTATTAAACACTCGCTTGCAAGCTTCGCTAGTGCCTAAAAAAACTTGTAACTAAAATTGCGTTTATAAAACTTAGTTCATATACTATTAAACTATTGTTATATTATAGACCATCAAAATTACCAAAAAGTGAATTTATATTTTAGATTAGTTTAGACTATTGTATTTTAGTTATAAAATCACGTGAGCTTGCATTGTATCACTTAAATTGAAAGGTGTTATGCAACAAGGCACCAACCCTCACTGTTGCAAAACTAAGATAATAGCGTCCGAAAAATTACGTGGTTCCTTCATTACTGTGGTCGTAATTATAGATTCAACGTTTTAATTTTATTTCCAAATCGCTAATTTAGTACTAAATTTTTATTTCTTATAATATTTTTTTCATTATTTTTAATAAAATAGGAAAATTTGTTGGTTGGTCCCTTGTAGAATAAATAAAATTTATAATTATTGCCTATTGTTTTATTGTAACATGGAAACCATAATTTGGAATAAGGTGATAAATAGATTTTAAATCTTTTAATTTTAGCTCTTATTTTTTTTAAATATTGATTTTGTCATATAAAACCATTAGTTTATTTTTTTCCAACATTATTTTTTCAACAGATCCAAGTAGCATGGATCCTTGTTGCAGTATAAATATACATACGTATATCGTATTGCGTTTAGTCAAAAGTAACGTTAACCAAGCCGCTTGGCGCCATAGAAAAAGGATAACCTGTATAACTGTATAACCTTTCACAATTTAAATATATATATATTTCCCTTTCCCTTATATATAAGGGAAAGTTGGCACAACCATGCAGCTTAAAGCTTTGTTGAGATTTAAAAACTTTGATAGTAGAGTTCTATATTATTTTGAATATTTTAATTCAGTATTTTTCCGTATGTTTTATTTCTTTAAAATATTTTCAAAAGGTGGCCTGTACATTAATTGTAAACATTTATTATATTCATTTAGTTACGAAATAAATAGAAAATTAATAAACATAAAATATATCATTATTTTTTCATTATATTTCTACAAAACATTTAATGGTGAAATATCGATAAACAATCAATTAGTAGTTAAATACTAAAGCCACGAAATTAATAGAATAGAATTGTATACCTAGGTAATTAACTAAGCCTAGTGAAACCCAACTAAACAAAAATAATATAAATTAATTAAAAATATTGTATTGTATTGTATTTGTGTTTTTCAGAATATGGTGTTGCAACACAGAGAGTGTGTCTTCAAAGAGGACCTTCAGATCATGAAGACAGGTGCGCTCAGACCAAGTGGAATCATAAAAGAGTCCTGATGTGCTTCTGCAAGGGAGATTTGTGCAATTCTTCAGATAATATAAATGTAAACTATTTGCTATTAATCATTAGCGCTGTTATTACTTTTAGGATGGTTGTTTAATTTGGTATTTTGTAATATATTTGTATATTTTTAATAAAATAAAATATTATTTATTGATATAAACTATAGGTTTATGGTGACTGCATGCCAAGCTAGTGGGGAAGTTGCTGTACTAATCGGAAACCAAATATTTTTTCGCCTCGAACCAAAAGTAGATGCATTCCAGAAGACTCCCAAATCTTGCTTTTAGTTTGACATACTATAGTGTCTTATAAGACTTATTCTGAGTTTTTGTGTATACACAATCCGGCGCATTTCAGGCGCATTTTTTGGGAATATGTCTGAAACAATCTTTAAGAATAATTTATTCTTAGATTGTTTCAGGCTTATTCCCGATGAATTATTCCAGTGAAGCACAGAATATTCTTAAGCCGGGATCCGGACCCAAATGAAATAACGGTTCCGGTTTCGAGAGAAACGACAAATTTCGGTTCGGGTTCAGTTACGGTTGAAAAAAAAATATTTCTGTCCGGTTCGGACCAATCTTTTCAGTCCATACGGTTTTTTTCGGTTCCAATTTTTTTATCATGTAGGTATAAATAAGTAAAATTATAAAATAAAAAATAATTTTTTTTTGTAATTTTTTTCTGGCATGTAGTTAAATTGTACTTATATTCTTTTTTTAAAATCGGGTTCGTCAATTTTAAGCTTTTCATTCTCTTTTTCTTTATTTTTATTCTGATCTTGCGATTGAAAAACTGGAAAATTAATATTTAAAAGAAGTTATCCAAAAATAAAAAAACTGAACTTATGTTGGTTCTCACAAATAATTGTTCCTCTAGGAAAGTAAAAATTTGTGACCGGAAAACAGCCTTTTAACGCTTACTTACTTAATTGTGTGTTGCAGGTGTCATATGTATACATAATACTATAGGCAACACTGTAATTAATAAATCCCCACTACAAAATTTGTATCTACCACCCATGCTGGTCAACATACATACACCTACATTAGGGTGTCCCTTATTTTTTATTTTTTTACGCATACCCTCTAATTATATTTATTACGTGTTTATATACTCCCAGTAAAAATTTCAGCTCATTCTATAAACGGGAACACGTGCCGACTTGCATCTGAACCCTCCGTGAGCCAACGTTAGGCGCGCGGTATTTTGTAACACAGTTGGCCGCGAGGTCTTCGATCGTAAGTCATTTTGTGTTTGTTATTATGTGACCCTTATATTATAAATTATTGACAAATGTTAAAATATAGTTTTATTTATGTGTATACTTTGATAAAAATGTATATTTTCACAGGGAGTGGCTAGTTACCCGGAAGGGTCTAGTGAATATGCCGTAAACTCTGAAATTGATAAACTTAATGGGATTTACTCTAAATAACTAAAATAGTCTATTGTGAGAGATGACTACCGAAAACTGTCTGAAATATTTTTGGGAGGACATCAAGAAAAGAAATGCTTATAAAAAGCTGAAATTTCATATAACAGTATATTTTAGCAATACTAATTAGTATATTAATATATTTAAGGGATAAAATCAACTAATTTTTTTTTGGTTATTTTTTAGCTGTCATTCAGATATAATAAAAAAAAGAGTTTCGGGTAATTAGTTTTACGGCCTATTCACCCGACACTTACTACCGGGTAACTAGCCACTTCCTGTAAAAATATTCATTTTTATTAAAGTATACACATAAATAAAACTATATTTTAACATTTTTTAATAATTTATAATATAAGGGTCACATAATAACAAACACAAAATGACTTACGATCGAAGACCTAGCGGCCAACCGTGTTACAAAATACCGCGCGCCTAACGTTGGCTAATGGAGGGTTCAGATGCAAGTCGGCACGGGTTCCCGTTTATAGAATGAGCTGAAATTTTTACTGGGAGTATATAAACACGTAATAAATATAATTAGAGGGTATGCGTACAAAAATAAAAAATAAGGGACACCCTAACCTACATGCTACCTAGTCATTTTAATAATTCAACCTACTCTGGTATTATTTACTTTATGGCGCAGTCGGTGGGATATTTTGTAGTGGGGGTGTTGCCTAGTACTATATAATATATGTGCCTAGTACTTTATAATTTATACATATGACATCTTACTTTTTCCAATAAAGTTATTTTAATAAACATTTACAATAATTATTTATACAACATTTACAATTGTTATTAACAGCAGGAATCCCTAATAATACTTGTGCTAGAGTGTATAATTTATAGATTTATAGCCCGTGCTCAAATATTTTTTTGCAAAAATATAATAATTTTATAACATATTTTTTTAAATTTTTGCAAAAAGTAATTAAGAAAAAACCTAAAAAACCGTTTTAAATTTAAAGGGTTCGGGTTCGGTCTCTAGCGTTACGTTTAAAAATAATATGGGTTCGGTTACGGTTCCGGTCCACAAATAAATACCGGTTCCGGTCCGGTTTTCATCAAAAAAAAGATTGACTTCAAAACACTGGCTCCTTTATCGTTTTGCTCAGTGTCTTTTAGCGGTTTTTTCCTACATGTAGTCGTGTGGGAAATGTAGCTCACATTTCCCTTACAACATTATGTAGGCGATATACGTACAAGAGAACACAAGTTGTTCTTTCTCATTGGTTATAGGCAACTAAGCTTACATACGCCAAATAATGAAATAAATTTGACAACGCTGTATGAACTCAGCGACAGCTGATTCAGATGTCGCTTCGTCACAAACGTCAATTTTCCTAACCTCTTATCTTTGCCAGCGGTGCAAAAACCAATAAATAATGAATTAAATACAAATTTTTCTACAATATGGATTTGCAGTTATTGTTGTTTTATGGCTCAGCCTTTTTATTTTCAGTATTTCTATCGGTAAGTTGTTTAATTGTAGAGATTTTAATTATTTTAATAATTGTCTTTCTTTAGGTATGCATTTTGCTAATAGCAACGTCCAGTGTATATCCAATAATTAATAGAAGTAAAAAAGAAAAATATTATGTTGATCCACTTTCTGACAAAAAAGTAGAATTTCCCAACTTAAATGATAAAAGCAGTGTGAATTTAAGTGTCATTGTTCCTGCCTACAATGAGGAAGTTAGGTGTAAGTATATTAAAACCAATTAAATCCACCAGTATTATGGTGCATTGCTTAAAAAGCAACAAATATAACTTACCACCCACAAAAGTTTACTATTTTTTAATTGACTATAAAATAATCTATGTATTAATGTGGTCAATATTCAATTCTATTCTAACATTGTTTCTTAATTAATTTCAATATATTTTTCAGTATTTTGTAACCTAACCTATTACTTAAAAAAAATTCCCAAATAAATTACAATTTAAAATTATTTTTATATAAATTTTAATATCAGTCAGTAAAAGTAAAAAGTAAGAAGTTTGAGTATTTTAAGGATACTAACAAACTTAAATTTTAAATTTTGTTGATTGGTTAATTAATATCAATTAAATATTTAATGTTGATTTAAGTACCCCCAATGCTGGATGAATGCACAGAATTTTTGGAAGAAAGATGCAAAACCAATAAAAACTTTAAATATGAAATAATTGTGGTAAGCGATGGAAGTAAGGATGGAACTGTTAAGGTTGCTCATAAGTATTGTGAAAAACTTGGTACCGATAAAATTAGAGTTTTGGATTTGGAAAACAACAGAGGAAAGGGTGGAGCTGTCAGACTGGTATGAGTTTGTGCAGATTTTTTTTTTTTTTAACATCCAATCCCATTCTATTTCCTATAATATAAAAGGGTATAGGGTGGAGCAAAAAAAAAAAAATTTTTACTCAACGTCTTGAGGTGGCCCACTGATTTTTTAAATTAAATTTAAGTTAAAATTCTTTTGAATAAAAAAAAAATTTCAAAAGTGTTCCGGAAACTGCGGAGTGTCCTCTTTCTTGCTAATTAACAGTTATGAAGTTAAAAAAATTTTGTGGTCATTATTGTTGTTTTTAAAAAAAATCCAAAATAGTAACATGCTTTTCTGAGGCAATAGAGCGAATTTCGAGTTGAACACGATCAAATTTGTTTATTTTTAGATAAATTTGAAGATTACAAGCCAAAAAATTTTTTTTTTATTCAAAAGAATTTTAACTTAAATTTAATTTAAAAAATCAGTGGGCCACCTCAAGACGTCGAGTACAATTTTTTTTTTTTCAAAAATTTTCTTTTTTTATAGGCTACAAATTACACCCCCAGGCTAAGAAAAAAAAATTTGCTCCACCCTAATAAGTATACCTGACATTTTTACTTTTTTATAGCCTATAGTTTTGTAGACAGTAGAATATAAAACACAGATCATTTTAAGTATAAAAATATATTTTTTAAGTAGCAAGTTAGCAACATTTTATTCATTGTTTGTGTGGAGAATTTTATGTAGGTAAACATTTTCTGCATAGTAGGCAGCTCTAGAGCTGTTTTTCGTAATTTTTGCTACAACATGGTTAAGAACCAAAATTGTTTGGTTCAGGAATTGTTTACAGTATTTTCATTGCACAATCGTTCTTATTAGATATGTATTCTTTGCTACACTACTAGATTTTCACCCTCTATGACGTTTAGGCAGGTAACGTCGGCCCCACATCTACAATAAGTATAGCAGATGTACTTATTAAGCAATGTGCTTCTTTCAATTTGGTAATTTCAAAAATTATGCCACTTTTTTGGGCACACGACCTATTATATGGATTCCCATAAAAGAATGTTGACATTTAGCATTATTAAATTTAAAAAAATATTTTGGGTACAAAGAGGCATATAATAATGCCGCATATTTTACACCTTTATTTAGCCACCCCAGATATACCAACAAAACGATCTCTAAATAATTAAATAATTTGTTAAAATTTATCCGTTTATTTTATTTCATAAAAATAAATTGCTCGAATTCATTTTTTGTGAAGTCTATTTCTTTGATTTTAAAGATTTAATTTTTTAACGGTTGTGAGCAAAGATAATACATAATTATTCTAAAAAATACACCAGAAAACAAAATATCACCTTTAAATCTAAAAAAAGTTTTATTTATGTTTCTATGGTTTATTTTTTACGCAAAATTGAATGGTTTATTATTCAACGTTTGAAAAAAAAATAGGAAATTTTATGCGATGTAAAATGACTTTTTGTGGCTTTCTGTCAAACCCTACAGATTTGGCACAAAAAGTGACACTTTAGCTCCCTATAAAATAATGTACTATTACTTTCTGAACAAATATGATTTTACCTTTTATATTTAAACATCAAACCTTATAGGTAATTTTAAAAATATATTTATAAAAAATTATAATTTTGCATACCTAAATCTTGGGGTGCCATTTTCCTTATTATTTTTTTCAAAAGCTTATTTATTTACCTTAACCCAATTATTTCTTGTGAAATTTTTAACAAGTTTTTATATTTTTATCATAAAGGGTATGCTAAGTGCCAGAGGTGCCATGCTACTTTTCGCTGATGCAGATGGCGCCACAACTTTTGCAGATCTTCAAAAATTAGAAGACAGCTTAAAAACACCACTTGAAAGTACATCGCTAATAAATGCAGTTAAATAAAGTATTTATTTGAATTCAATTTTAGATGACTATACGCTAAACCCGGATAAAATAGAAAACCAATTGGCTATTTCCATTGGTTCTAGAGCACATTTAGAAGAAGAATCGGTTGCCACTAGAAGTTTTTTTAGAACGATTTTGATGTACGGATTCCATTTTTTGGTGTGGCTTTTTGCAGTTCGAGGCCTTAAAGATACGCAATGCGGATTTAAACTTCTAACCAGGGAAGCTGCCAGAGTCTGTTTTGAAAGCATGCATGTTGAAAGATGGTAAATAAGTTTTTCTGTTCTTAGTTAAAAAGTAAAATTAACACATAAATTCTTTAAATCTTTTTTGGGTAATGGTATTATTTATTTGTTATCCTCCTAAAAATGCATACTCCTGCATACTCCTGCATACTTGAATAAGAACATTTTTAGGGCGTTTGATGTTGAGCTTCTCTACATTGCTCAAAAATTAAACATTCCAATAACTGAAATAGCTGTAAGATGGACTGAAATCGACGGGTCCAAGGTGACACCCGTTTGGAGCTGGATTCAAATGGGGGGAGATTTGGGTCTTATTTGGTTGAGATATACCATTGGAGCCTGGAAAATTAAGAAGCATTAACATTCACACAAGACTTTACTATGCATTTATTAGTTTTATATTATTTTAATATAATTTCTTTTTTTATTATATTGGTTTTAATAACAAAATAGGTCCCCTTTTAATAAAATGCTCGCATTGATATTTATTTCATTATTGTTCATTTTGAAATTATATATAAGACGTTTTTTGCTTAAACTACAAACTTATTTAAGTTAAGTTAAGTAAATAAAACAGTTGCAGATTTTTAATTACAAACATTCATTGTTAATGATAATTCGTCATTTATTACAAATTTATTTATCTACTTCCACCTTTAAAACGCTCATTATTGTACATGTTTTCATGACACTAGGTGATCTTTTAAATACACATTGACAAGCTGTTGCTTTATGGCGGTTTAGCCACAGGCTGAAGTTAGCTTTAAGTTAGTTGACAGTTATCAAATGTCATAAAATCGTCAAATTTGTGGTGGCTGTTTTTTTGCCGGCGAGTGTATTTTTTGTAAATATTATCACAATAAATAATAAACATACATAATTATTGAATTATAATATATAAATGTGAATAAGCACCAAGAAGCCAAGTGGTACAATTAAATTTTGTTTAGTTTTGAGGTCACCATACCAAGTAGCACAACTGGTTAAATAACTGGCATATAAATTTAAGTAAAATTACGTTTTTTAAACTTGTTTATTAACCACTTAGTTATATTCAACCACTTACATTTTTTTAAGGTTACTACGAACTAAAAAATTATTTATTAGTTATTTTTTAGTATAATTAAACTACGCTGCTGAAAATGACGGATGATTGCGGATGTAAATTGTTCGGCAAAACGAGATCAAAGCAGATGATTGCGGATATAAATTCTTCGTCCAAGCCGGATAAAAGCGGGTAAAAATATCATCTGGTAACATCTACTTTTATCCGCATAGCTATATCCGCGAACACCCGGTTGGTTGTGTTTTATGTCCGGTTAGTGCACCCCCGAAATCATCTGTAATCATCTGTTTTTAACTCTCCACTGCGTTTCGTTTATATCTGTATTTGTCCGGGATCATCTGCAAACGTCTGCTTACGTATGGTTTTATCCGCGATTACCTCCCAAGCAACAATTTAAGTATTTGTTACGTATATGGGACTATTGAAGAAACTTTAAAGTGTTTTGCGACAGTCGCCGGTCTCTTTATATTACTCTTTTATTACTAAGTTACGACTAAAGTGGGGAACAATTATTGAGTTCCAAAAAGGTAACAAATAGGTCACTAGCTATACTTAAACCCTGCTACTATTTGGAACGTAGCTGCTACGTTACTAGAACTTTACAATATCGTTGCAATAGCGTTATAATTACTTTTATTTATTTGTTTTCACTTCTATATTAACTGTCTTTGTCAAACTTATATTAGATTATACTATCCCTCCTTTTTTAAATGGAACTACTATGGACTTGGCTTTTCAATGTCGTCGTTTATTAAATATGTACTGGTAGTTTATAACTTCCAGAATAACAATATAATATTTAATTAGGCAGGTAAATTTATGAACCCTTTAAATTTTACTGTTGAACTTATATATTTATTTTTTGTAAAATAAATGCGCTTCATCAATATTTAAGTATAAACAAATTATTTATTATTTATGTTTATAAATAAAAAAAATCTTAATATTTTTTTTTTTTTATTTAATTATTAATACCGTCTATTACCAACAAAATTACTATTTATTAAAAAGTAAACAACCATTTACAAACAATTAAAATAATTTATTATTTACATTACCACGTGGTACTGTACAGTAAAAAATGGCCAATAAGAAGCATTTTCCTTTGAAGTGGTTTTCGCTACTTTAAAGTTTTTTTCCACTTTACGGTTGTTTTGGTTAGTACCATAAACGTTCCAAATACTAAAATAATAACTTTTAAGTTATTAACTTTGTAGTTTTTAACTCATGTTCCAGTTTCGAGATTTTAACTTGCAAAGGGACTACAAAGTAAAAATAATTATAATGTAATCTTTAGGTAGCAACCGAAAGTAACTGCTACAAATTAAATTTACTTGAAAGTTTTTATTACTTAAAACACCTTTTTTAAAGTTGCAAAGTCTTCTTGGGGGCAACCAAGTTTTACTTAAATGTTTATTACTTTATAGTAACCATTTAAGGAAAAATTAAGTTTCTGTTACAAAATATTGCTATTTAAAAGTTAGAATTACTTGTAAGTAAAAATTAAAGTAGCTGTTTAGTATACTTAACTAATTTAAAGTTATCACCACTTTGCCAATGGTTTTTGGAACCAAAAATGCTGCTTGGGCTGCATTTGTTTCGTCTATTTTTGTCGGGTTTTGTTTGCAAATGTCTGGTTTTATCCGCAAACATCTGCTTTTATCCGCAAAAATCTGCTTTTATCCGCCAACATCTGCTTTTATCCGCGAACATCTGCAATCACCCGCGAACATCTGCTTTTATCCGCGAACATCTGCAATCACCCGCGAACATCTGATTTCATCCGCAAACGTCTGATTTTATTCGGTTTTACCCGCAAACATCTGCTTTTACCTGCGAACGTCTGATTCCATCCAGTTAATGCACCCCGCATTCATCCATTATTATCTGCTTTTGACCGGCTCTACTGCGTTTCGTTTATATTTCCATTTGTCCGGTATCATGTGGAGACGTCTGCTTACGTCTTATTTTATCCGCGATTATCTTCATTTTTTCGTCCATTTTTGTCGGGTTTCATCTGCAAACGTCTGGTTTTATCCGCGAGCATCTGCTTTTACCCGCAAACGCCTGCCTAGTCCAATTTCACCCAGAGGTGGTATGCGATGAGGTGCCATCTAAGTACCCGCAGCACTACTCGTCGTTTAAAGTTACGGTAAATTTGAATAACTATGAAAAGGCTTTAAACGCCGAGCTGTGGCCTGAGGGTGCATTTCTGTCTCGTTTTTTTCACCCAAGGAAAAGCGACCAGAGTGCAACTTAACACCAAATAGTGATGCTGATTTGATATTGCTTAATTGTCAATCTTTGAATAATAATAAAATAGATCTAATAACAAGTGAATATCTAAACTCTAAAAATAATGTAAAGTTTTTATGTTTAACAGAGTTATGGTGTACACCAACCAACCTCAAATATTTGAATTTTACAAATTTTAATTTGATAAGTGCGTTTTGCAGATCACAATTTAAAGGTGGCGGAGTTGGTATTTGGTGTCATCATACGCTTAAAGCTATATCTTTAGGTCTTTCTCAATTCTGTGTTGAGAAAGACTTTGAAATTTGTGGTATGACTTGTAAACTCGATTCAAAAAAATCACTAGTGATATTTTGTTGTTATAGATCCCCAGGAGTTGGTGATCTTAATTTATTTTTTGGTAATATCACCAAGGTTCTGGATCTAGTTTACAAAAATAATGCATCTTTAATTATTTGTGGTGACTTTAACATTGAACCTGATAGAGATACTAATGCATATAAAAACTTATGTAATATATTTTTAACTTACAATCTTGTTAATACAGTCAAAGGAATGACCAGAAAGGGTAATACTTTAGATCACATATTTACCAACATGGAGCAGGGTACTTCTGATATCCATGAAAATTTTATATCTGATCATAATACTTTATTTTTTTAATTTTAACTATTCTTATAAAAAACAAAACTACATAGAACATAAAAGATGTTTCTCACATGAATCTATTGAGAAATTTAAAAATGATTTAAGAAACGAAAGTTGGGACACTGTTTATAAGAATGATTTTGAAGAGTCTTTTAATTCTTTTTATAGTCTTGTCTTGTATTACTTCTACATTAATTTTCCACTAAGATCTTTTAAATCTACGACTAATGGAAAGGAATGGGTAAACAAAGATATAATACTTTCTAGTCAAAACTTGAAAAATATTTATTATTTAAAACAAAAATACCCACTACTTAACGACCTATATAAAAGTTCAAAACAGAGTCACTCCCTTCTGATAACAAACACAAAAAAAAAATATTTCCAAAATCGGATTTTTAATTCAGATAATCAGAGCAAAGCAGCTTGGAACCTAATCAATTCAAATAGCAAACCGAAAATACCAATGGAAAATCTAACTATTATTAATGATAACATGGAAATATCTAATCCCAAAATAATTTCGAATAAATTTAATATGTTTTTTAAGGAGGAACCATTAAAAATTGTCAGCTCTATAAAATCAAATAGTAGGAATAATGTATCTAAAATAAATATTAAGTCTAACAACATCTTTCTTTTTCCATTTTCAGATAAAGAATTAATCTCTCTTATTAAAACTAAACTTAAATCAACAAAATCAGCTGGACCAGATGAATTTCCATGTTATTTATTAAAACTTATAAGTGAAGAAATTTCTAAGCCCCTTGTACATTTAATTAATCTTTCCTTTACTTCAGGGATCTTTCCTGAAAATCTTAAAATTAGTAAAGTTATACCTGTTTACAAGAAGGATTCTAAACAGGTACTGAACAATTATAGGCCAATTTCAATGTCTTCCTCCTTGGCAAAAATATTCTAATATTGTTTCTTGTCTAGAAAAATAATATTTTAAGAAATAATCAATTTGGATTTAGGGAAAATTGCTCAACATCAAAGGCAATAAATTATTTCTATGACAAGATTATTAGTTCTTTGGAAGCAGGAGAATGCCCGACTGGGATTTTTTGCGATCTTAACAAGGCATTTGACTGTGTAGACTGCCAAAGACTTTTAGAAAAAGCTGAACAGCTTGGAATTAGGGGTCCTGCTTATTCCTGGCTTGCTAGCTATTTAAGAAATCGCAGACAATATGTTTCTATACGACATATAGATAACAACAATATGGTCACATGTGTAAACTCTGAGATACAGGTTGTTGACATGGGTGTACCTCAGGGTTCAGTATTGGGTCCTGTGCTTTTTAACCTATACGTTAATGACTTGGACTCTTGTTTACTACCTGACACGGTGGCAACTTTATATGCGGATGACACCTCTCTAATAATTACTCACAATGATACCCAAATTTTGGAAGAAAAATGCAATGGCAATCTTGATAACTTGTTGTCATGGTTTAATATTAATAATCTCTGTTTAAATAAGGATAAAACCAATTTTATTCGTTTCTATAACCATAACCATCAAAATGTTCGTGACCTAAATTTAAATATTTCAATTGATGGAACATTTATTGATAAAAAGAAAAGCACGAAGTTTCTTGGGGTAATTATTGATGAAGAACTTAATTGGAAACCACACTGTGAGAGTCTCATCTCCAAACTTAACTCTTTAATTTACCTTTTTAGAAATTTAAAGAAATTGCTAAACCTGAATCAGATTTTAATGTTTTATCATGCACAATTTGAGTCTCAACTAAGATATGCTATTTGTTTTTGGGGTAACTCAACCTTACATTCTAATGTTTTTGTTTGTCAGAAGAGAGTGATTCGGTGTATAGCTGGAGTTCCTTGTGATTATTCCTGTCGTGACTTGTTTAAAGATTACAAAATTTTAACTTTACCTTGTTTATTTATTTATGAAATGTGTGTGTATGTATTTGTTAATAAGAATACTTTTATAAAAAATCAGGATGTACATCCAATAAACACAAGGCAAAAATGTGATTTTAGGGTCCCTTTTTCTAGGCTTAAGAAAGGAAAAAATTCCCCCAATCATATTGGTCTTAATATTTTTAACAAATTACCAATAGACATCAAAAATGTTAATTTGCTCTTTAGTTTTAAAAAACAGCTAAAGAAATTTCTATTGGATAAGTGTTTTTATACATTAAGTGAATATTTTGCTGTCTAACTTGTTCAAGCTTTTAATGTGTTTTTACTTATTAGATTGTATTGTTTATTGTGTGCTCATTGTATTAATTTATTTTGTCATATTTTGTATACTTACTATAATTATGTTTTTGACGTTTTCTATACATGTATCTATATGTCCTCAGAAATAAAGGTATTATTATTATTATTATTATTATTATTATTAAATATCTGCTTTTATTCGCAAACATCTGCTTTTATCCGCAAACATCTTCTTTCATCCAAGAAAATCCGCCACCCCCCGCGAACATCTGCTTTCATCCGCCAACATCGGATTTTATCCGGTTTTACCCGCAAACATCTGCTTTTATCCCCGAACGCCTGATTTCATCCGGTTAGTGCACCCACGCAATCATTCGTAATTCTCTGCTTTTGACCGGCCGCAAACGTCTGCTTACGTATGGTTTTATCCGCGATTACCTGCATTTGTTTCATTTAGTTTTGTCGGATTTTGTCTGCAAATGTCTGGTTTTGTCCGCGAGAATCTGCTTTTACCCGCAAACGTCTGCCTAGTCCAATTTCACACGCAAACATCTGCTTTTATCCGCAAAAATCTGCTTTTATCCGCGAACATCTGCTTTTATCCGCGAACATCTGCTTTTATCTGCGAACATCTGCAATCACCCGTGAACATGTTCATGCATCTGCTTTTATCTGCAAACATCTTCGCGGATAAATGCAGATGTTTGCGGATAAAAGCAGATGCTTGCGGATAAAAACAGATGTTTGCAGATTAAAGCAGACCTTCACAGATAAAATCAGATCTTTGCGGATAAAAGCAGACGTTTGCAGGTGAAATCGGATGAAGCAGACTTTTGCGGACTAAAGTGGGTGTTTGGGAATTAAAGCAGGCATTCGCGGATGAAAGTAAATCTTCGCGTATAAAAGCAGATATTTGCAGGTGAAATCAGATGAAGTAGACTTTTGCTGATTAAAATAGATGTTTATTTTATCAGATATTCGCGGATGAAACCGGACGTAAGCAGGAAATGAAGGCAGATAAAATCGCCATATTTTTTCCTGTCCATTATAACAACTATTTTTTATATTTTATATTATTTTTTAAAAGGGTAAAATAAATCAAAAACTAGCATATATTAACTTCTTTTTGGCCAAAAAATGCAATAAACATCGTGTAAAAGTAGGTAGTCAAATTAAAATGTCAATAGCCAAAGGATTCCCAGCAAACACAACCGTAAAGATTCTTTAATGGCCCTTTATAAATGTGCCTTTAATGAACTAAAGGCCCTATAAGGGCTAACTTTTATGGAACTGAACATGTTATGTTGCGTTCACCTTTAATGGTCATGTAACGGCAGTCAATAAAGGCACTTACAAGAACCATTCCATTTTTTGATATGACGCGCTAAATGTTCTGATATGGCAGATTAAAGGTACAAATGTGGCAAGCTCTGATATGGGGTGTTAAAGATTCTATAGTTGCTATTTAAATATTTTTTAATGGATAAGGGCCGGTTTATCAATGTCCGGTTAAAGATAATCTCCATGGATACCATTGTTCTCACAACGATCGATATGGAATTTATCTGTCAGATAGACTAACTGGAACTAAACCAGAGATTGATAAACCGGCCCTAATTGAAGTATCTATTATGATGGATTAAATGTGGTAGGTATTTAGGATATTTCATGATAATCAGAAATTGTTATCCCTACAATACAATTTCTGACGGTCGGGATAAAAATTTCCAATTATCGTGGAATATTCGACCCAATAAATATAAACAAACCACATTTAATTCACCATAATAAATACTTTACTTATCCATTTCATTAATTAATATATTAGTGTATATATATTGTATATCGTGAAATGAAACACTCATTCATAACATTCATAAATTTACAAGAAAAAATAAAAAGCAATGTGTTGTAATAAAGACGTGTATAAGTAAAACATAAAATTTTTATTTTAAAAACTGTTTATTAGGTAATAAATGTAATTCAAAATATTTAAATAAATAAAAAAATCCGTAAACTAAATAGAAAATATTTAAAATTAAAATATATATTTACAAATAATAATAATAATAAGTTCAGTTGATTTTGTTGCCATTATTAATTTTAGTCGCAATTTTAGTCGCAATTGCCCCAATTTTGACTTTATTAATTAAACCGTTCTAATAAATTCTTTGGCGGTAGGTATTTTGTCTAAGAGTTCTAAAATTTGTAAAATTAAAACTGCACCTACTTATAATCATTATAATAATTTAAATTTAACAACCATTAGGTATTATTATTTTTTTATGTGGTATAACACAATATTAAAACTATAAGAATTTTACTGGGCGTCATTTTTAAAATATGTCGTAAGTCCCATTAACTTGATACTAAAATATGCCATATATGGGTCTTTTATGGTAAAATATACAAATATTAGTCTGAAAAGGGCCATTGGAAGACCATATCATGATAGCATTTTATCAAAATGAATATTTTTATTAAAACATTCCTGTAAAAGCCCAGTACAAGGAAAGCTTTGGGTAAAAATGCCATTATTAAGGAATGAAACTAGGTAAAGAGCCTTTACATAATCAGACTTATGTGTTTGCTGCTATTGTATAAGAATTGTTGGAATAGAAATATCGTAAAAACCAACCACCAAAAATATTTAAAAATAATAGACTTTGATTCCAAGTGCAGCCTTATGCAGTTTTATTATTTTAAAAACTTCCCTTGCATGTTCTTGGTACCTAATTATGTAATTAAATTACGTAAACTTGTATCGAAACACGTGATTCAAATCAATTACGGCCACTCTGTTAAACCAAATTACAGCTAGATTCTTAAGTAGGCAAGCACGTATTTGTTGTATCCTTCGAACACCTTTTGTAAAGCCTTTAAATCTAGGTCTGCATTCGTCACAATCCATCAAATTCAGATCCACCCCTGTATTTGACACACATTCAGAGAAAATCTTCTCTCACTTTCCCCACCCCTGTATCGCCGCCACCGGGGGTGGTTTTGCGTACGCAGGCGCTCAATGCGCACGCGCAAACCCTTCCCAAATATCACCATTACTTTGATCGTTCAGTGTCCTTACATGTAGCAGCTTCAAAGGGTGAAATTTTGCCTCCGAAATGAACATCCTCAGCTCCATTTGCAGGGATTAGCAGTAAGTGTTATATAAAAAACACCAGACACAAAACACTACCAAAAACACCACACGTCCATAAACCAAACATGATTTTTTAATTAAAAACACACTATATGTAAATCCTTTGATAATGGTATCTAGAATGTATAAAGCAATAAGTATTATAAGTGTCAATTACTGAATTCTTATTATGTTACAAAGTACCTCATTAGGAATAAGTTATATGATAAATTGTGTGCTTTTACATTTTATCGATCGTATCTTAGCTTTAAGTTTACAGCATAACTCGTGTTAGATTTTATTTATTACAACAACGTTTTTGCCTGGAAGATTGTAATTAATCATTGAATTTATAGTTTACTAATATATTTAAGAATTAAAAATAATTAGGTATTATTTGTTTAATTTACTTGAAATATGCAAATACTCTACAGGTTGTTTATATAAAATAATATATTGTTTTTAATGGTCATTCCAAATATAAAACAAAAGTTCTTATTTTATTATTTCACAGTCAAGTATAAATTTTCAAGCAAATCTGAAATCAATTTAATAATTTATTGGATATAAAATTTTATATTATTACAAATACATATAGTTAATATTGAACCTAATTGGGTAAGGATATTTCTGATCTATGCCGTAAAAATGCATTATTTAGTACATTGGATCAATAAAAAACTCGACTTCTGTCAGATCTATCTAACCTTACTTTCTACTTTTATTAATTGTACCTTTTTATATATGTATAATAGAATTGTGCCTTGAAGATAAAATGTTGTATGCCATTCGTCCAACAAGACTTAGTGAGGTTTTGGGCATCGCTCAATTTTAGGAGTCAGCCCAAAAAAACTTACTTCTTGGCCGTATAACATAAATAACTTTTATTGCAATAAAATAAATTATTATAAAACTTATAACTACAAGTACTTACGAAATATATCGGAAATAATCTGGTATCAGTAAACAATTTTTTCTGAAGTTAATATAAATATATTTCTATACATTTTTTGTTCTTAGATTTTAAAGTATTATTTTGTGTAAATTATTCCTTCTTTCAATATTACTTTTGTTTATCTTGAAGTTTAGCAGCCAAAATCCAGTTACCTTCAGTAATGCCTATCCAATTCCCTATGAAAGTAGAAATGAAATAAACTAAATTTATTTCAGCATCTGCCTTGTTTTTAATCTTAAAAGTGTAATCTCCCTACTCAAGGACTTAAGTCTTTTTTTGTAAAAGTTGTTCGAAGTTCGTTGAAATCTGATACAACTGTAAACTATAACCCGAGTAGATATACGGAAATGCCTTAATGCCAAAAACAACCGTATCTAATTCGTGTTAATGTCTTTGGTCAAAAGAATTTTGTTTACTACCCAGACAGCAATATGACGTCTTAATGAAGTCTGCATAAGCTCTATTTTATGATTTGGACGTCAAATACAACATCAGAGAAGTTTTTAAGAAGTTCTTAAGACTTCGAATGCGCCACCTATTGAACTAATCCAGACTTCTCAAAAAGAACTCTTGAGGAACCCTTTTCTTTGACTTCGCAATTAAGCATTTTAAAGAGTACTACTGTATAAACTTATAAAAATTATTACCATAGAACCATAGAACAAACGAATTTGTTAAATTGATTTTGTTAAAATCATTTTAATAATTTGCTCATACCTATTCGCCTATTTTTGTAATTGCGATTACTTCGTCTCACTTTTGTTTAAATTCAAGCATGCTCTTCACCGGCACCGATAGACGGCCTGTTTCGCTCTTTTGGAGCTCGTCAGTATCGGGTAGCCGTTTACCTAGGTCTAAGACTGTTTGGTATGGGGCACGCTCTAAATTCTACTTCGCCGCTTCTTATATCAAACACAAGCAGTTACAGCGGTGATAAGAAAGTAATCGCATTAAAATTTGACGTCTCCATGTTGACGTCTTAAAGAGTTAATAATATGATTTCAATTGGAAGTAAGAAAAAAGAATACTCTGTAAGCTCAAAATAAATTGTTCAAAAAGAGGTCAAGAAAAGATCTTTATTTGTATGTAAAAAAATTGACTTTTTTTATTAACAGCTCAGAATTCTGAGCTCATAAAAGAAGCTGTTTAAGACGTCTTCTACACGAAGTTGTTTAAAAGACTTCATACTGAAATCTTTCTGACATAATACGCTGTTTATCACCATGTGTCTGTAATAAAGCTGCACCTTTTGCAGCTATTTCTAAATATTTTCTTTAAATTGGACTTAAACAGGTTTGTCGTTGTAACCCGGAATTTTCAAGTATCCCCAAAAAAAATTCATATGGCTATAGCTTAACTCCTTCAAGAAGTTTGCAGACCAAATATGCGAGTTTTATTTTGTAAGATAATTTTATTTATTCCAACATACATTAAAAAGTATTACCTATAATTAAAATTAGATAATAATTAATTCATTGCTTTTTGAGATTAAATTATAAGATAAAAGGCATTTTATGTTAAAACGGATTATAATTTATGTCAGCTTTTTGCTGCTACTTTTAAATTTTAAACTCGCTGCATATAAAAAAAGATAAAAAGTAAAAAACCAACTTACTCCAATGTTGTTTTAGTTTTTAGGTTTTAAAAGCATTTATTATAGGATCAATGCTTTTATTATGCTTTTATCAGGGATAAAATATAAAATAGTGGCCTTAAAATAACATACAAGCTTTACTAAAAAATATTGATAAAATATATTTTTAAGAATACTTGTTATTTTTAAATTTTGCATAAAATTTAAATCAAAAAATTATCCAATCAATATTATTTCAATTGTTTAAAAGCATGGCATGAAAATGAAAAACCTTTTACGCTTGACGTTTTAACTTTAAATTATGCAATAGGTACATCTATCACAGAAGTAAAAATAGATATTTGTTTTACAAGTGTTGAAAAGCGACTTTTTCCGAGTGTGCATTAACACGAGCTTGAAGAAAGCTTTTCTCACAAGTGAAAGACAATTTTTTTCTCCGACCCTTTTATTTTTTATTATATTCAAATACAAACCAAAATAACCTAAAAACGTGTTTGACAGCTGTTAAAATTATTTCATCTTTTAATTTTTAAGGTATAAGTTGCTTAAAATCAGTAAACTTACCTTCTCAATTTAAATAAAGGCACTAAAAACTAGAATTTATTATACACACGCAATTAATTGTGTTTTAAATGATATTTAGACATACATATACAAATAAAATACAAAATTTGAAACGAATGTCAAACGATGCTGTCAATTTCTTTTCACACAGACCTCTCACTTTTCACACAGAAATGTCACTTTACATTCGTGTTTTGCCTTGCCAATGAAAAGATTCATTTTCTAAGCAACGATGCCAATTCAAAATGTGACTTTTACATAGTGGTCGTAGAAAAAAATATTTTAAATTCAAAACCCGAAAAAAACCTTTTTAATTAACTTATGGATAATTTGTTATTATTTATAAGGGTTTTACCCATATTCATTATTATTATTAGTTCATACAATTAACAAAATGTATAAAAGTGAGAATAAGTTGAAAAAATGGCGAATGTGCCCGGATAAATTTGCTTATTTAAAATAAAATATATCTTGATTAAATATGATTATTAAATAATAGTACTTCTCTGCTTATTGTTTTTATTTAAAAAACCCGAATAGTTTCGGTTATTATTAGCCATCTTCAGGGGCCCTTACAATAGTAGATTACACTTAATTATTGTACAGGATATTAAAATCATAGGTAAAATTACTTACACGTCAATTTCTTTAAAAAATACACAGATTAACACATACAACACATATAAAATTTAATTTAAAACATTATACTTATAAGGTCTTTGTAAAATAATATATGAAACAATTAAACATAATGGAAATAAAATTAACTTTCAATTAGAGTTTTAGGGTTATGTATACCGATTGTTTCTGCTTCTATATGTACCGGTTGTTTCAAATATTTTAATATTGGTGTATAATATAAATTTACTTGTTCGTTAAGACTTTTGTATTTGTCTACTAGCATGTCACTGATATGTTCGATGGGGTTTAGGTCTGGACTTCGGCCTGGCCAGGCCAAAACCCAACAAACAAAATATGGACCCATTTGTAAAGAGAACATGTTCCCAGTCAGCTTTTATCTAATTAACGGGTTTTCTGGCAAACATTTAAGCAGGCTCTGTGATGGTCCACGGTTAATGGTGGCCTTCGATCAGGAATACGAGGATCTAAATTAGCTTTTCTGAACCGCTTCAAGGCCTTAAACACCTTTCACGTTTTCAAACTGAGACTGCAACATTCTTGTTGTTACAAACCGTTGCCCCAAGGTGAAAAGCCTTAAAAAACGATCTTATCAGGCGTTGTGGCAGGATTTCTCTCTTTATGGTCACCAGTCTTCCTATACCGTTACCACATTCGGGAAATGCATGTATGAAACACACCAATCTATCGGTTTTTCTGCAGTAATTCCAAACTTCTTCTACTAACAGGACGGTTGGGCATATTCATCACTTGTAAACAAAAAGTCTAAAATTATTTTTTCTATAATATAAATTGCACTGTACTTGAACAGGTTAATACAATCAGGGATCTGGGTGTTGTCTTTGACTCGGTACTGTCCTTTGATGATCATATATAAATAATGATAAAGTCTTCTCTTAAAATGCTTGGTTTTATTATTAGAACGTCAAAAAATTTCACAAGCATTGATTGTTTAAACATCTTGTACTATTCTTTTGTAAGATCTAGACTTGAATATGGGTGGTATCTTTATTACAATAATTATAAGAATAGTATCGAATCAGTACAAAGGTGATTTTTAAAGTTTTTGTCTTTTAAAATAGATCGACGCTACCCCGACAGAGGCTCGGATTTGTCTGGATTTATGAACAGGTTCGATGTCTAATTTTTAGAATTGCGTAGAAGAATTTTATCTGTTATTTTTTATATAATTTCTCGCACAATAACATTGACTGTAGTGATCTTTTATCAGAAATTAAGCTCCTTAAACCTAGTAATACTCGAAAC